AGGAGATTTTTGCAGACAGATGAAGTCTCACCAAGATCCCTAATTTTGGAGATTGATTTGGGTTTGAGCCTCTTTAATGCAGGTCCTGAGGTGTCTCCCCCTTTCGAAGGCTGAGGCTCAATATGAAGGAATTGAAGGACAGTGATGGCAGGAATTGAAACAGAGGTATCAATAGTGGAGTAGCCATCGAGGGAGATACCCAAGTTGGACAGGAGAAGCGTGATAAATCCTCCATAGGGGAGGCGTCCACCAAGATGGGCATCAGCACTTCGAACCAAAGAACCAAACAGCAGCTGTGTGTAGTCAAGCTTCCTACCAGTGAGGGCATTAGAGAGGACCCATAGATCGATCTTGGTGACTATATTCTGGCCATGATTGCGGGGTAGGAATAGGTGAGTGATGAGGTAGTGAAGCGTGCGGAGAGGGGGATTCAGGTCAGCAGAGGTAATGACCTCATTTGCAGCAACAGGGCGCTGGGTGATCCGTGAATATTCAACCACATGGTCAAAATCATAGAACAGAAACTCATCTTCATGAGCCAAGGGAAGAGGTCCCCCTGTTGGAAGATTCAGTAAACAGTTTAGATGAGCAATCAAGAAACAAAATAAAAAGACAACTAGCTATGCCCAGACAAGCTCGAGTTCCTGGCCACAGCCCCAACTCAAGCTTTCCAGACACTAGCAAAGACCCAGACCTAAACTCCCAAAGAGACAGAACACTCTTACTGAGAAAGGAAACCCGCGCCGTGCTTCTTCTCCGAGCCTTCCTTTAAATAGACTTCGAAGGAGCCTTCCTGTCACTCTTCTTCAATGATGTTTCCGTTGCAAGGGAATTGATGATGGAAAGGATCGAGATTGAAGTTTCTTGATCTAGGGATTTTGATGCGGCTGATGACAGAAGTGAAGACGATGAAGTGCTTCTGTCTTTTTGTCGAGACAAGGCTTATCGGATGGGCTTCAGTGCTCGACTGGGCCTTTATGGATCCTGGGGCAGGACAGGGCCAAGGCCCAACAGGTCTTTTTAGTTTTTACTTCGAAAATTGATGCAACAAAGGCAAAATAGGATGGGTTTTGGGCTGTTCGGAGAAGGCTCTTTCATCTCCGCCTTCTGTTGCTTCTACCAGCCTCTCTTCCCTTCCTGCTACATCAACTGGATGTTTGGTGATTTTTTACCATTCTATGATTCTGTTGGCTTGTTTGGAGCTCAACTTTTTGTGCTTGCTCTGCTTTGCTTGATACTCTGCTCCTGATCGATTTATGCAATTAGTTTCAGATTGGACTGCTTTTGCTTATTCCTGTTGAATATATGTGCCTGATTTTGCTTCCATTGGTGTTCTTTATGCATAATTGCATAGTAGTCTTTAGAAATTATTAGGCAATTTTTATTGGGTCTTCTCTTTGTTATATGCATCTTACAGCTCCTCCCTCCTTCCCTACTCCCAAGGCTAACTCCATTTGCCGGCAGTTCTGGCCTCCGGCATCTACCTCCGTCCAGAGATTACCCTTTGTTTTCTTTGTTGTTGTCCAACTGACATGTGGCGTAGAGCTAGCTTTCTCGGATAAGGCCGAGTTCAGCGTGGCAGCAGCGGTGCGGTGGCGGGTTGGATAAGAATTATCCTTTATAGCTTTGTTAGTTAATATATGCCCTTGTTGTGTCTTTAATTGCCACGTCTCTTTTGTGACTGCGCTGGTTTTCGGTGAGTTTTATTTTATTGGACTAGTAAAGCATTGGCTATTTTGTTGTTGGCTTTTGTCCGTTGCTCCTTTTTGTTTGTTATTTACAGGGCCAAGAAAGGTTTGTGCGTACGGATCCAGATGCATCCATTCAGATCGTGATAAAGCTGCTTGTCTCTTTATTCTTAGGGACTAATAGAGCTGTCCATTAAGTGGCATAAACGGCTCTTTCATCGCCAGTTCGATTAGTATCGACTGACGCTATTTTTACCCATTGTAATCATATCTGTCTACTATTTCATCTGACTATGATAAATAAAAAAAATTGGGAGGGACGATGATCTTGATGAATGGAGGATTGTCAACGGTAAGCTATTTGATGGGCTTAAACCTTGGAAATATAGGAAGAAAATAAAGTATGGATGTTAGTTGATGGTAAGGAGACAATGAACATGAGTGACTATTTAATTTTAGTTGATGGAGGGCGTCACGGAAAGTTATATTTGAGAATGGGGGAGGTGATTGATGCTTTTGGTAGTGATAATGAAAGTGGCGACAGGCAAGGAATGGAAGATGAAGCTGCGGACGAGTGGGAGTTTGAACTTGGACAAGAATGTCGCAAGGGCCGGAGTACTCGGCGTTGTCACAATGGAGGGGAAGCTCACTTTCTTTGGGGAATGGGTTAGGGTGATTACTTGTTTTTTAGTAAACGATGCTCTTTCATTATTGGGAGGGACGATGATCTTGATGAATGGAGGATTGTCAACGGTAAGCTATTTGATGGGCTTAAACCTTGGAAATATAGGAAGAAAATAAAGTATGGATGTTAGTTGATGGTAAGGAGACAATGAACATGAGTGACTATTTAACTTTAGTTGATGGAGGGCGTCACGGAAAGTTATATTTGAGAATGGGGGAGGTGATTGATGCTTTTGGTAGTGTCGTAGTGATAATGAAAGTGGCGACAGGCAAGGAATGGAAGATGAAGCTGCGGACGAGTGGGAGTTTGAACTTGGACAAGAATGTCGCAAGGGAGTACTCGGCGTTGTCACAATGGAAGGGAAGCTCACTTTCTTTGGTTCTGATTATGCTAGGAAATTTGTTCGATTATTGGAGCGCAATTGGAAATTTAGAAATGACGATTTCACATGGAGTTAGCGAGTTTATTTGTTCGCATGGTCATCAACAACAAGTGGGAAAACTTCTTCTACATCGATCTTGGTTGAGGCAAGCATGGTCATCCCACTAATTTTGAGGGCAAGGTTGTGCTTAAAGGGAGAGGATTGTTACGATAAGAGCCATTCTTAATAATCTAAGAATTTCTGGGCTCATCTATTTTTAGTAGTTTTATTATTTTGTTAGTATTTCGTACTAATTTCGATATTATTATTGTTTACTTGTCTTAGTAGGATTGTGATTGTTTTCTAGTATGTTTAGGATTTGGTTATCGTTTCCTTGTGGGAGTAGTATTCATGTTCTAGATAGGAAAAGGTAGAGGCTTTCTATGCCTATAAATATGTATTGTTTGTTTGTCTTGGTAGGATTGTGATTGTTTTCTAGTATGTTTAGGATTTGGTTATCGTTTCCTTGTGGGAGTAGTATTCATGTTCTAGATAGGAGAAGGTACAGGCTTCCTATGCTAATAAATATGTATTGTGTGTTTCGTTTAATAATATGAGAAGATTGGAATCCAAGTAGCTTAGTAGTAGTATTCGGTCCTCAATATTTATCTTCGTCCTAAATCTATTTCTCTTCGTTCTAATGACACTTTTCAACTGTTACGTAAAGTATGCATCTATTACGTAAAGGTTACGGAACGATAGTTATTTCTTACATGACAGTTAAATTAGAAGCGTTTCGGTCTTCCGTAATGAATTAACAGATTACGTTGTGAAAGGTTAATATTTATTACGTAAAATGAGTGTCTATGACATAAGGTGTCTGTAATGACATTTTTCAACTATTGCGTAACCATTACGTAATGTCTATTGTATTTTACGTAATGCGACTTGTGAAACCTGTCGTTAGGGGAGTCAATTCGGGTTCGGTTTTTGGGTTTACCCGAAATCGACCCGATTATATACATTTTCGGTTTTTTGGGTTCGGGTTCGTTTCGGGTTTGGGGTTTTTGGTTTTGGGTTCGGTTTTGCTTATCGGTTTTTCGGGTTCCGGATAAAAACCTCCAATGAATAGAACTCAGCCCGTATTTTTAGGCTTTCGGGTTTTCGGGTTTCAGGTAACCGGAACCCACAAGTCCTTATCGAGTTCGGGTTCGATTTTAGTGATTTTCGGTTTCGGGTTTTTCATTTTTTTCGGGTTTCGGTTTGGGTAACCGAACCCGACCCGAACTGACACCCCTACCTGTCATGACCCATACCCGGTTCAACCGTGGTTCATAGACTTTGGACGGAATATGTAACGGAAGGGAAAGTTTGTGAATGTAATTATAATAGAGAGGCAAGTTTGACGTAAGAAATAGTAGAGGGGCAAGTTTGAGAAACTGTAATAATAGAGGGGCAATTTATCATATTAACCCTAAAAAATATCAAGTTACAATAACTTCAAAGTATTGTAGGAATTTCCTATAGTGTTTAATTCATTGACATTGACATTAATTATTTAGTAATGAGTGTACATAGTGTAAATCGTAACTTAATCGGTAAGGAACATAATCAAAATCGAAATTGAGATTTATGTTGTTTCACTGTTCACTATGAACGAGACTAGTCTAAACTCGAAGCTAACATTTCTCTTATTCGCTTAACTTCAACAAATACTGTTTACATACATAGTATTCTACCAAGAACCCTACCTCGCTTCCATACATATGGACGTCCGAAATACATACCGACTACGTATGGGCTATACAATCATGGCCCTATATCATTCAATAATCTTCTCCAAATTGATGGAAGTCTCAATTCATCAATTTGCCAGGAAAATAGGAGTGATGGCCAGTAGAAAATACCTTAAACTTTGGTGTCGCCATGAAGCACCGGATCAACCGCAAACTGAGTTGCACTATGGGCTTTACAATGGCGGCCCATTATTACTCAACACAAGCATATCCATATTTTTATAGGCCAATACTATGGTACCGCGCTAAAAAGTGCGGCACTGGTGACGCGATTTTTTATTGGGCCACGTGGAACTGACATGGCATGGCTGGATATGATTGAGCCAAGCCCAAATATTGACCAAACAATGGGGCAAGAAGTGGCCAAACCAACTACCGTCAAACTAACGGGTGTCTTCCCTCGGCCGTTTGATTGTTTTATTTTTATATTTATTTAACTACATTTATTTTCCCCCTCTTTCTCTCGCTCGTCTGATTCTGAAACGAGCGAATGCCCGAGGAAGTGTGCAGTTCGCCGATTCCATCTCCATTGCCTGCTAAATTCTTCATTGTATTCCTTCTCCATTTATTTTGGAAAACATAGCACGAATCCCTGGTCCCGAGCGCCCCTCTCTCTCCATGGAAGAACTCTGTCGATACCGACGATCCCTGGACAAAGGAAGTGTGAATCGCTTTCCCTCTGCAGCCTCCCCTCGCTCTGCAGCCTTCCTGTTGACGAAGCGGAATCCGAAGTTCCTTGGTTCTTAGTGACATTGCCTATCGCCAGCCTCCTGCTCGTGATATCACGGGTTTCTCTCTCGGCTGCGAAGGAGTCGAACCTGCCTCCTCTTCCCGGTTCCCGCCATCGGTCTCTCTTCCTTCTCAGTTAGGTACTAACTTCACTTCCTCCTGTGCTCAATTCCTGTGAAGGTGGGTTTAGGGTTGATAACTACAATCGGCGGGTTTAGAACAAATCTGAACGGTCCTGGTAATTAAATTCGTTTGTTTTCTTAGAAACTAGGACAATGATTGTTCTCGTATTGGTCCAAAATTAGGCCTAGTATCCTTTTGCCTCTTAGCTGTTGTGTTAGGGATGTTGCGCCTTGTTTTTCAATATTTTTCCTTTGTGTTGTTGTACAGGAGCTGAATCTTGAAGGAGATGATAAATGCTAATGCTATACTTGGTTGTTGACTTTCTCAAAACCTAGGCTAGTTCATAATGTTAGACGGGTTTAATTAACTATAATGTTTTTGCAATTTACTGGATAAAACAGTGTATATAATGGTTGTGTGTCTAACATTCTGATTTGATTTAATTCCCATCTATCACTGCTAAGTCTCTAACTTTTTCGAGCTAAACAGGAAAGGAGGAATGAAGTACATATTTTCAGTTTTGTTCTAAGATATTTTGGGATTTGAATTCCTTATTAAATTTGGAGGTTTGGGTAGCGTCCTCACTTCGATACCTCAGATTAAACAAAGTCCTAAAAGCATTTGTTAGGATGAAGCACGCTATATTCTGTTGTTCTCTTCTTATCATGTCTTATAAGTTTTTGATGTATCTGAACGCTGTGAATTTGGTAGATCGAATAATGCAGCTGCTATTTGAACCATGTTAAATTGTTACTTTTTTCAGTGGCTTATGCCAAGTGAGGGAGGATATCTGGAGGCTGAAGATATAGAAAAGACATGGAGGATCAAACAAGATCATATTACTCGTGAAGTTGATATTTTAAGCTCAGAATCAATATGATATATTTTTGAACGGTTTGTTTATAGTAGCATTGCCACATAGAACATTTATAGGCTCAATATTCCTTTTCCACCTTCGTCTAGAAACTTGCTGCAATTTTCTCCTTACCTCTGTGATCTACAGGTTCTTTTTAGACCAAGCTGCTGGTGGTCGTTGTGGCTTTGTGTGTTTGTCCACACAATCACATGTTCTCCGGTTCGAAGCGTTGGTACTCTCTCTCTCTCTCTCTTCATGCCTCCATCTCCAATCCACTCCTCCAGGTTCTTGTTAAGAACTTGTCACTTGTTTGGTTTTATGTGATTATCTGCATTACTGATATTGATTCAGGGTTATCTTGAGTAAATATTTCTTAGTGTGAAGAGCAAATAAGCTTGTTAGTAAGGAGAATGAAAATTTGTTAAGTTGGTTTGTTATATTTCCTGCTACTTCTCTTCTTTTCTTAAAATGGCGGGTTAGCCTCTCCATGTAGCTTTCACTGCTGCTTAGTTCATTGTAGATTTCAGTATGAATTAAAGTTTCTCTGGTCATGATTAGTTGTTGTTGCTTTATTATTATGTCTTCATTCAGTGTTTGCAATTACCAGTTACTCTTTCTGGCCTGTGTTATCGTATTAGTGTCACCTTGCTGTCATTTTGTAGACTCCTCTTGGATTCCCCTATTAGCACTTAAGATGAATAGGGCGTTTGGCGACAAAAATCCTTGCATAACGTTTGTGGATTGTTGGAGTTTATATATGTAAACACTACTAATTTTGCAATTTTGTACCCTCTCTTCTGGTTGTTAACTTTTGCTGGAGAACTATCTGGTTTGACGATATTTTGGTGTGCAGATCTTGGTCCCTACACTCTGAACTTTACCTCTAGCGGTCGATACATGGCGACTACAGGGCGTAAGTGGCATGTGGCTATTGTAGACATGAAGAGAAGTATCTGCAGCTGCAAAAACCAGCAAGAGTGTGGAAGTGGAGATAGCCATATATATTTATATTTTGTTGTAAAACTTGTCTGTCTTTTCCTTCTATAGCTTTTATCGTTTAGGAGGAACTTTTAGTTCTTGAGCTTAGTATGAACTCTTGAGACTACGGAGAAATCAATAGTATGTTCATTAACTTTTGCCCAATAGAATCTGCCTATGGTTGGAAACACCATGCGTAATCAACTGCACTTTGCCATCTTGACCAAATGTAGTTTAACAATAACAATCTACTAATTTTTCATTTCGTGCACAATCTTATACATACTCAGCCAACTTCATCCCATTAGGTTACAACTTACAAGATACATGGAGGAATGCCATACCCTTAACGAGGTGGTGGCCAACAAGAATCAAAACTCACCAATGCATATACTCCTACCTAGCTACGGCTTCTGCAGCTGCAGATACAGTCAGCAATGTATGTACTGAATCTACTTCCTAACAGGTCTTGAAGTTCGTTCAGTCGCCTTTGCTCCCTTGTAAACCACGAAGTCATTGTAACGATGTTCTCATTTATGGAGTCGGCAGTATTAACCTTGAATGATGGAAGAAGAAGCAAGGTTGATCCTATGCTGCATATTCGTGATATTAAGAAGCTTCATCTCTTCATCCAATTTTCTCCTGGGGTGATGACATCAATACTATGTTTATGAAGTGCTCTACCATGTGCTGAAAATACAAACAAAAACCCTTCAGCATTAGTTCAGTAATTTTTCACACACAATAATATATCTGCCGCTAGTACCTGGCAAAGCTGGTAGAAGAATGTGTTCCTGAGATCAAGGTCAGCCATAACTAATTAGCTAGTACTTCATGCAATGTAATTGAGGACAACAATTCAAAGCAGAACAACCCTGATCGAGCCAATACTGACACTCTGGAATATGGGAAAACAAATGCTGCATCCTCAAGTGCCCAGCTCCACGAGCTGATGATGTTATTATAATGCAATTTGACGTTGGCTACTCAATTTCTTGTATTTTGTATAAACCTTTATGCATCTAACTTCTCGGCAGCCACATATGATGGGAGGAGTAGGAGCAGCAGGATGAGGAGGTGCAGTCGAGAGCAGGGACAGAGTGGCCAAAAAAACAAGGAACAAAGAAGTAGAACAAGGACAAAGCAATCGGCCTTCCACTCGGCTGACTTAGCTAGTCTATGCTATTGTTTATGTACCAACCAAAATATAAAGAACAAAGAAGTAGAACGGGGACAGAGCAACCAGTTTCTTGATGCTCGATAAACACAACACCGCAAAGGAAAATAATCGTATACAAGGTGCAACATCCATGACATACCAGCTCAGAGGAAAAAGGAAGTAGGCCTAATTCGCAAAAAACAAACGAATTGAATTTCAAGGATTTGTTAGGCAATGTCGGAACTTCGAATTCCACTTCGTCAACAGGAAGGGTGCAAAGGGAGGGAACGACGCAGAGTGATTGGACTTCTTTTCTTTCGATCCAGAGGGATTCCAGGTGTCGGCAGAGCAATTCGACGGAGACAGAGGGCCTCCCGGACTAGGGATTCGTCATTTTTGTTTCACACAATGAATGGCGGAGGAGGAATACAGTGAAGGAGTTTATTGGAGGGTATGGAGTTTCGATCTGAGACGGTTGAGTTCGTCGCAGCAGTTTGGTATTCTCACAGTCTTCTCGTCGGAGCAGTTTGGATTGGACAGAGAGCTCGATGAAGACGCTCCTGAGATTTTCTTTCCTTTTGTTTTTTTTTTTTGTTTGAGGATAAAACTAAAATGTTACAAAATTAAATCAATTTAAAATTAATTACTGGAAAATGAAACAAATAGAAAACGGCTTGTTCAGTGTTTCCGTCTGTTGGGTAGAGCTTGGGTTTGGAAATTTTTGGGTTGTGACGGGTCATGGGCTCGAAATAAATAAACCTTCCATGCCACGTCAGCTCCACGTGGCCCAATAGAAAAGTGCGTCACCGATGCCGCACTTTTTATCGCGGCACCGTAGTATTGGCCATTTTTATATTGAATGAATTATTCATAATTGTATTAAAAATATCCGATGATTTGTTCACAAAAATGTGAACTGATTATATCTTATTTACATGAAATGGAATTCTAGCTAGAAACACAAGTGAATCAATCAGAGGAAACATGGGATCGGTTAGCTTGACTACCCCATGGAGGGGAATGGTTTTCGACACCCCCATCCACAACCGTCCATCTAAATTAGTGGTAATGTAAGGTGAGGATTGAGCAGCCTTTTATGTGCATTAAATCCTTCATTAGTTGGCGTCACCCACGTTGGAAAGGGGGGAAATTTTGGGGACTAGGAAAAAAGGATTTGACTTTCCCCTTTTGATTATTTCCCCTTTCGTCTCTCCCACCAGACGACCAACCCTCCTCCTTCCATCACCAGCAGCCGGCCATCTTCGACCTTCTTCGGCGACAACAATGGAGGTTGTTCCTTCCAGCGATCGAGAATCAACCTGCCAACCAACTCCTTTCCTCTTCCCTTTTGCTCTATTTCCGTCAACCACCTTCCATCGGCGACACGACTTCGAAGAACTAACGATTTCATGGAACTAGTCTCCGTCCTCCCGAAATCGACAGTAGGTGTTGGGTTTTACTCCCTTACATTTTCCTCTTTCTACTCTTCTTTCTATATTTTTTTAGGGCTTTCTTCTGACTACCCTCCTCACCTTCTCGGCGAAGATGACGGCCTCCTCCCCTTCCCGACGATGACGACGAAGAATCTGAGGTAGCTCTCTAACCCAAACCCAGATATGGGTTTTCGTGTGGTATTAGTACTAGTTTAATGGTATTTTCATTACCTAGATATGTGTCTTTGAGTTTGTAGGTCTGGATTTTTTCATGTGGTATTAGTACCAGTGTACTGGTATTGATACCGGTGTAATGTTACCACTGCAATGGTAGTTCTACCACTGTCTGAGTTTCTGTTGAACGTTATCAGTGATAAGCTTTTTATTCTCGTGGTGTTTGTACCAGTGAAGTGATATGTCTTACCGGTGTAGTGGTACTTTTTTGCAGGTGCTCGGAGGGAGTCAGCAGGTGCAAAGATGTATTGGTAATTCTACCACTACAGTGATAGTTGTCTTACTTATCGAACTCGTATTTCTATAAAATGTTTATTGTGGCTAATATTTGTACCACTTTCAGTGGTAGTTCTGTTTCCAATTAGTTGAAGGTGTGTATGTCACCGAAGTGGTATATAATGTTTTTTATGGCTAGTAAAAGTACCACTCCAATGACAGTTTTGAGTTGTCTTACTTATCGCTAGTTGTTTATGGCTAGTTGTCTTGCTTATCGCTCTCGCATTTCTATCACTTCAATGATATTTCTGATTATTGTCTTCCTACCCAATGACCTCAGGAATAGGCCAAGCTCCTGCCTCGAGTGCGGGTACCAACAAAAAATGGCGTCGTGAGAGCCAGTATAAGGAACAATAAGCTAGGGGTCAACTAAGAAATACATCGTCATGGAAATATTGTGGTCTCCCCGCTTTTGAAGTTTGGAATTGATTTTATTATTTTTCTTTGTCGTAATTATTGGTTAACTTCTTTCAATTTCATAGAAATATCTTTGCCGACGAGTAATGGAATAGAAATGGTCTTCGCACAACTTTAGCGGTAATCATACTACTTCAGTGGTACATATATACTACTGAACTTGTATTATACCAGTAGACTGGTATACATATCAATTAACTGGTACTTATACCACCGAACTGGTACTAATTAAGACTGTCCTCAATATACCAATACTCATACTTACTTGATCATGAAATATAATCCTGGCACAAGCAACACAATAAACATTTCAATCAGTCAACAAAATAGGAACTTTCCATTAGTAGCCAAAAACTGTGTTCCAAAATGGGTTGCAAAATTAGGGAAATGCCAACAATAATGCCAAAAGCAATAAATTATCCTTCAAATGTGAATAAACATAAAATCTTCACAATTTTTTCAAGCCTAAACAGGACATATGGTTAAGCCTAAACAGTATCACTCCACTGGTACACGTACCACTCCACTGGTACACGCACAACTCCACTGGTACACGTACCACTCTATTGGTGCGTTTCCTTTTTTAAACCTAAACAGTATCACTCCACTAGTACACGTATCACTCCACTAGTACACATATTTTTTTAAGTAGGGTCAATTTTTTTAAGCCTAAACGGTATCACTCCACAGGTACACGTACCACTCCAATGAGAAGTTGCTTGTTTGTTTACGTATCATATTGGTTGTACGTATATCAGTTCAGTGGTACATGTATTAGTCCACTAGTATATCAGTTCAGTGATACATGTACCATTTCAATGGTACCACTCCAAAGTCTATCAAACACTGCAATGGCAACATTTAGGATGAGTTTCAATTTTGCTACTGGTACAAGTTCAATATATCTAACACTACAAGTGGGTTGTAACATTTTGGTGTTGAAAGTATGGAATGAATAGTTGCACTCGTACTAGTATCAGGTCAGTGGTACATGTACCAGATTAGTGGTACATGTTCACGGCAGTGCTGACGTCTCCTAGACATTGTAGAGTTGAACTTCAATACAGGGAGCGGTAAGTAACAACCTCCCGCCGCCCTCCATCTTCTTCTTCATCTCTGGCGGGTTTATTTTCGGTGGCCATTAGTCCCTCCTGCGTTCGGGATGAGAGTCTGATCTCGTCTTCACCCCCATCATTTGATGCCGCACAAGAGTCGTCGTTCTTGGCATGTCCATAATCGTCGCGCGGAATGTTGGATCCGTCTTCCCTCTCGGTGTGGCCTTCATATGTTTGATCTCCAGTGATAACCTTGCGTCTTGTCCTCCGACGGGGAGCAACCCGCTCGATAGGTCAGAGGCGATCCCAGGACGGCGGCGGATGGTGATGGGGGAAGACGCTAGAGGAGTACGGCGGTTGTAGGGATGGAGGCGGCACAAGTGGAAGGTGTGGATGAAGAGGCGGAGAGGGGTGGTGGCGGCGGCGGGAGGAAGAGGAAGATGAAAATGGGGGAGGGTTATGGTCATTTCAGAGTACAGGAGGCTTCTGGTGAAAATGAAATCAAAATGGAAAGGGGGTCCAAATGGAGAGAGAAGGAGACGAAAGAAAGACAAAAATGGCAATTAAT